CATACACTAAATATAAAGTCATTTATTAATAGAATTTTTTTAAAAAAATATAATAATTACATCTTAAAAGATTAAAAATATTTTATATTCTTTAATATTTAATTTTAAAAAATATTTTATATTTCTGAAAGGGAGCATGAATCATCCGAACTTTTAATTTAATAGTTAGAAATTAAAAAGAAAAAAAAATGAAAAGAGAATAGGAGTGAATCGTCCGCGGTCCGATTTCAGTGTCCTCTCCGCGGAGCGTGGTCGTGACATTTTATCAAAACCTTATCTGAGGTTCTTTTTCTTGGCGTGATGCGCTGAAAATTCGCCGTCCCACGTTACCTTTAAGTATAAAATAATAAATCAGGTTTAAATAATTAAATGCAGTCCTTTCACTTCTAATTTTCAAAATGTTTCCGGCTGTTCTATTTATTTTAATAACATATGTTCTCGAAATTTTTCAAAAATTCCAACTTCACTGTATACAATTAGTACTATTTCACTCGAAGTTAATGACTAAATTATTAATTAATATATCATAAATTTTGTAACAAATTTTAGTATATTATCCAACTTTGTTTTATATTACATTTAAGTTTCATTTCAGTAAAAAAAAAAAGTCCACTAGTATGCTGTTAAATTTTTACAGAATAACTAAAACCTTTTTATATTAAATTTCGGTTTAATTTTCATTTCTTATTAAATTTAGGTTCACCAAATCTATAGAGAAGATCTAGTTTTAATTAAACCTTCGTTTTTCCAACCAAAAAAAAAAAGAAATTGTGGCAGGATAATAAAATAAAAAATTTAAACTTTATCAAACAATAATCTGAATAGTATAAAATTTATAGATGATTTATTTTAAAATTTTTACAAAATTTGAAAATGAAATAATATTTGAAAAAAATTATTGGATCATTTATTTTCCATAATTAATTAAGAGATTAAATTAACATTTCAATGAAATGAGAAGAAGTGAGACTCGAGAGTAGAGCTAAGAATATAAGCCAACTTGGATCATATAAGTTGGAGAAATATTAGTTGGATTAGATTTCAACCCCATTTTTATATGAGTTAAAAATTACATCTCATCCCAACCCAACTCTTGAAGATTGGCGAATTAAATGAGCTCACCTATCAATTCATTTATTTTTTTAATTTATTTTTCATGAATTAAAAAAATTATCTAAATAATGAGTTCTAATTTAATATTTCTTCATGATTCATTCTAGCTACATTAAATTATTAATTTATAATGTTTGTATAAAATATTTGAAGTAATCCAGCTAAATAAGTTATGTTCCATATGGTTTATACCATTAAAATTTTCACCCTTTTTTTAAATTTTTTTTAAAAAATAATATGGTTTCAACGGCTTAATTCTAATCTATCAAGGTTAATTCACATTATTCATGAGTTATATAGTTTAGGCAAACAAAAAATTATTTTTATTTGAATCAAATTGTTTTCAATCCAACCCGATACTTATGAATGGTTATTTGACCAACCTACATAACTCGACTCATATTTCTTATTTCAGGTGAGAGTGTAGTCAAATTTATTATCAATCTTTATAAATAAATAATAAATACTATTATAAATTGATCAAGATTCTTTTCTCTTCTCTTCCAATCCTCTGCCTCTTCGTTTTCAACCGTTAGATTAAAATATGAATAGTTTAGATTTAATCATTTATAAAATTATTATTAAAGAGTTAAATTACAAAAAAAATGATGTCGAACTTTAATTTGAACAATTTAAAATTTAAAAAAATCACATTGATGACAGTCAGAGTAATTTTTGTTTTTTCTTATTCAATATTTTTATCAGATGTCACATAAGAAATTTCAGATCAATTTCAGAATTCCTTGATCTTTTCTTGTAATTAAGGATTTTCAGTTGCCCTTCAATGCGAGTTTACTTTAGAATTATAATTAAAAATTATTTTTAAAAAATATTAAATCTATTCAAATGTTTGATCTAATAATTTTTATTGAGAGAGAGAAGCGGGTGAGAATGGAAAACCACGGAATCTTGGTCAAACACTCCCATATAAAATGAAAAAGGACTCTGGATCGTTCGAGGAGGCTAAAGAAGTGTTTTTTTTTTATAACCTCGTACTAAGCTTCTACCTAACCAGCCTCGATTTTATAATTCCCCCTTTCAACTTACCCTTTTACCCTCATCCCTGCCAGATCCAAACTTTGATGATAGGGGTGATTTCGGAATTCAGGATCAGAAAAAACAAACAAGCAATCTTTTCTTTTCTTCATCTCATCCTCATGTACTGATCGAATTTTAACAATTTATATCTGTTTATTTATTTGTTTGTTTTAAGCCGTTTAAATTTTAATCCAACGCATGCCGGGAGACCCAAAGCTAGCAGTCATGTTCCTGTAATTATCTCACTAAACCAGGGCCCATCTTCTTCCTCGTCTCGTCACTGATCTATAAATCCCGAATCTCGCATCTTAAGCCTCAAGGAACACCTTATACTCCTGTCAATCTTAATCCACATATCCATGGCTTCCCGCTACGAGGTGGAAGTGAAGCTTGAATCTGCCAAGAAACTCAAGAACGTGAACTGGCGCCACGGCCCCAATCGCCCATACGCCGTCGTTTGGGTTGATCCCAAGAACAAGTGCTCCACCCGGGTCGACGAATCCGGCGACACCGAAGCCGTCTGGGATGAGAAGCTCCGCATCCCCTTGCCTCCCGGCCCCATCGAGGACTTCACCCTCTTCATCGACGTGGTCCACGCCGGCTCCGAGGAGGACACCAAGCCGCTCATTGGCTCCGCTAAGCTTAAGCTCAACGAGGTTCTACAGGACGTCGGAATTGGCGATCGCGCCACCAGCAATTTGACCCTGAAGCGACCATCGGGGAGGCCGCAGGGTAAGGTGGGCGTTGGGGTTTCCATCAGAGAAATAGGCTACCCAGCTCCTGGTTCGTACCAGGCTCCGCCTTACGGCGTCCCACCGGCATCAGTGTCACGCGATTTCTCCGGGGCTTCGCCGGCGTATGGTTATCAGCACGGCGTGCCACACGATCCGTACTATTCCGCGGCGCCGCCGGCTGGGTACCCGTACAGTGGTTACAATGCGCCGCCGCCGCCGCCAACGGCCTACGGACAGCCGAGCTACGGTTATGGTCAGGGGGGTGATCAGCCGGCGTACGGAGGCGAGGAGAAGAAGAAGAGCAAGTTTGGGGGGATGGGGATGGGGACGGGATTGGCTGTGGGCGCAGTGGCTGGTGTGTTGGGTGGAGTTGCACTGTCAGAAGGTTTCGATGCTTTCGAGGACCATATTGCAGAGAAAGCTGCAGAGAAAGTGGAAGATGATCTGGGTTACGATGAGGGCGGGGACGACGAGTAGAAGAAAGCATCGTTCAACTTCACTGTTACTGCCCTCTTTGGAATGTTTTTAACTTTTTTATCTGAAAAATCGAAACACGCATTCGGATTCCAGCTGAATTTACCCGAAAGAATCCGATCCTTTCATGTCTTTCTTTGTATTTGGATTTGGATTGATCTCTCCTTGTCTCTCTTGCTCGCAGTTTTTGCATCATAGTCATTTCTTCAAGCTAAATTTATCCCCGCTTGCAATTTCTATTAAATTTTATGCTGCACTAGTGGATTGATTGGACGACGACTGATAACTGATCAATTCACCATTTTATTCTAGTCTGAAATATTAGACTGGGCGGTAGAAAAATTAATATATCAAAAACTGATGCAGCCGATCAGTGCTCAATTGGGTCAAAATCAGAAGAATTTGAAAATGGAAGATGGTCAACCAGGAAGAACAAAAAGTTGCGATAAGTAAATTGAAAAAGAAGAAGAAAGAGAAGTCGAAGGACTAGCCGGAAAATCCGAGAAAATGAAAATCCATTTTACGTGGCTTGCATGCGTTTTCCACTTTTTCTCCCCACGTGGCTAAGACTAAGGAACCAGGAGTACTGCGGGCTCGTTTTCATGCTCATCGCTGTTTATATATTTTTATTTTATATTAATTAAAATAAAAATTTATAAAAAAAATAAAATAATTTTTTATCTATATAAAATATATCTGAATAGTTAATATATTATAATTTTAAAAATTTAATATTAAATTAAACTCTTTAAATTAAATTTAGACGAAATTAAAAGTAAAAAAATATTTTATTATTTTTATAATTTTATCAAAAAAAAAAATATTTTAAACTTAAACTATTCAAATCAATCACACTGAAGTTGAATCCGCTCACTGCTGTGCTAGGTTTCCTTGAGACATGAAGAATGTTTTAAAAACAGCACTGTATAACTAAGTAAGGTATTGAGGTTAATGGTTGAATTGTGAGTGAATTATTGTTTGGTCGTGATTAATTTAATATTTTTAAAATTATATATATAATAAAATAAATTTATCCATAACGATAAAATTAATATTTAAATAAAAACATTATACTAAAAACAAAGAAAATTTTTAAATTATTTATATTTATCATTTTAATTTTCTTACAATACTATTTTAGTAGATTTCCTTTCATCCTCTTTAATATTTTATATTAAATAATAATTTAAATTTTAAACTATAAATTTAGGTACGATATTTGAATTCTAAATTTATTTTTAATGTTTTTTGAATCCTGAACAACTTTTTCTCTCGGCATCTCTCTCATGCTTGGCCCTCTCGCTCTCTCTTCAAGCAAGTTGCCGCCGTGCAAAAAAAAAAGCCATGAGAACCGTCAATCAATTTGTGCTTTTCCACCATCTTGAAGACTCGCTTTTTAATTATATTGGACTACTTTTAGTCATTTAAGTGAGACAATTTTTCTTTTACACCCAAGCATTTATTTATATGTTCATATTAATATTAATCAACATTATTTATTCTTATAAAAATGAAAAATGAAATGAAATTTACTAAAATATTATTATCTTAAAAATAAAAAGAAAATATTATACTTTTTTGTCTTTATATAAATTTTTTTTATTTAAATATTAATCTATGGTTAAGGATAAATTTATTTTATGCTTTGTGTGTGTATGTACGTGTTTGGATAAAGGAAAAAATTGATTTTGGACCCCAAAATAGATTTTTTCAGCCAATTTATCCAAACATTAAAAAATGACCAAAAATCGATTATCAGGCATGTTTTTTCAGAAGTTCCCTCCATCCGCTTTTTGTCAAAAGTTTGTCAAAAATGTTAGAAAAAATTACAAAGATAGGCTCAAGAAAAAATTACAAAAAAAGCACATAATTTAATAAAAATAAAATCAAACTTTCTTCTTTTTCCTTTTTTTTTAATAAAATTTAAACTTTGTATCTTTAAAAAATTAATATTTGGTATTTAAAAATTAAATTATATAGTAATTTATATATTTAAAAATTAATTTTAATTAAATTATTCAAATTTCTTCAATTCTATTAAAATTAATTTTACAAAAATAATATTCAAACATATTGCGTTATAACATAATCAATTATGATTAAAATCTATCACTTAATTAATTATTTTTATAATTTATTATACTCAACTGAAATTCAAACGGGCATTATATAAGTATTTACAAGACAACCTGACATTAAATACTAACAATCTTTTAGCAAGAATTTAAAACTTAATTTGTAATGTTGTGAAAATATTAATCCTTAAATTAATAACTTGGACGGTTCAAAATCCACGATCAACTTGTAACTTGTGAGGCGGGTCACTTCTTTTCATTTTATTTGAAGTCGTGACTAGGGGCCATGAAGGAGCATTTGTATTATTTTTAAAATTGGACCGGATCGGCCAGTCCGACCGGTGAATCGGTGACCCGGCCATGTGTCCGGTCCGGTTTTTCTTTTTATTGTGATTTAAGTTAACCCGGGTGACCCGGGATTAATCCAGATTAACCCGCCTAACCCCTCGGTTCAGGCGGGTTGAAATTTAAAAAAAAAAATTGATACTGATTAACCAAGATGTATATTTATTTTTGACATGATAATGATTAAAGATAGGTCAATAGGAGTCATAGGGTAAAAAAATCATACTTATGTCAGATGAGGGGATGGAAGAAGCAAAAAGAAATCAAAAAATATAATATATATTATATTATATTATTTTTAATTTAAATTATTTAATTAAATAATTTTTAAAATATATCACTTTTATTTATTATCTTTTATTTTAAAATAAATTTTTATTTCTATTATTTTAACTCATTGAAATTTTTTTATCATTTAGTTAACCTTATTTTAAAAAAATATAGAAATGTTGTTATACTTTATTATTGTTAGAATTATTGTTATATGTTATATGAGATATTAATACTTGGATATATATGAACGTATTGAGAATTAATATATTTTTTATTTAAATTATTTTATCTTATTATGATCGATCTGACTTCGATTTAACTCTCGATTGAACCCATAACCCTGATATCCAAGTATTTAATTATTTTATAACCAATATAGAAGTGTTTTATTTTATAACCAATATCCGATTTTCAGTACCTTGAGCATTTGTAATATATTATTGCACTGTATTGGTTTGTTATTGGTCGTCACTTGCCAATCAGATCTGGACCCTCTCAGCGAATCGATTCTTCTCCACGTCCCAATGTTCCTTTTCTTTTATTTTCTTATTCTTCTTTTTCTTTTTCTTTTTCTTTTCAATAAAAGGAGTCAAATGATCAATTAAAGCTAATAAAATTACAATATTAACTAACATGTTATATGAACATTAGCCTAAAAGAATAGTCCATTCATTTTTATATATAAAATATTTTTAACTGAATTATATAAATTAATAAAAGTTAATTATTTAATTAAAAACATAACAATATTTTAATTTTATTCTTAATTATTGTAAATAAAAAATAAATTTATTTTTTTAAAGTAAATTAATAAGAATATTTATTTTTTATTTTTCTAATTTAACAAGGGATATAATAATTTATTTATTAAAAAAATATGCCAACAATCTCTTATAATTAAAAATAAAAAATATTTTAAAAGGCCTCTTATATATTGACGGAGGAAGTGGAGCATATGTCGAATGTCCTGTAAAGCAACAAAATGAATATTTTGAAGTTAATTATTTTATAAAACAATTCTTATAATATCATACAAATATAAATAATAAAATTTAAACTGTTATAATTTGATTTGCATAATTCACAATTATATACTATTATTAACAATTTTTATAAATTAATTTTATTTCAGTTATAAAGTGTTCTGGTGAAATTTTAATAATTTAAATTTATTTTTTTATTTTCTTAATGTAATGTTATAATAACTTTTTATAAAACAATTAAATTTAAATCATTCATTCGTTTTTTTTAAAAAGTAGAGATGGGATAAGGAGAAGAAAAAGAGTAAGAAAGATTAGGAGAGGATATGCTTCCCATTTCATCACCTATTCTCTCATTTTCTTCTCTTCACTCTCAGATTGAAAATTGATTAGTTAAGGTTTAATATTTTATAAAATTTGTATAATAAAATATAAACAAATAAATATAAATTTTTAAAATTTAATTTAATGAAATTAAAAGTGTACAATAATTGTAGACTATAGTTTAAATATATAATAATTTTTATTAAATAGGAATAGTTGAATTTTTAATCTTAAGAGGAAGATGAAACGAAGAGAAGGAATTAAGAAAAGAAAAAGGAAACAAAATGGAGGAGATGAGATCCAAATCCTCTCCAATCTCCCAATCTTCAGTGGGCCATTTTCTCGAGAATCAAGAGAGAAAGAGGATCACGTTCGCATGTGAGGATTTTCACCTTTTCTTTTACTTACTCTTTTTTTTTTTTTTTAAACTACACCCTTCTTTAAAAAAAATATAAAATAATTTTATACTCCGTGGTAAAATATTTATTTATTTTTAATTTAATATTATTTTTTATATTTATTTTTATTTAATAAAATATTTTACTTTAAAATAAATATATAATAATTTATTTATAAGATTATTTTTAAAAAATAATAATTATATTTTAAAATATTAAAAATGTTTAACAATTTTAACCATACAACCATAAAAATTTTTTTATATTTTTTAATTGATAGAGTTTTAAATTAAAATTAAGATTTAAATAATTTAAATTTAATCTCCTATAAATTATTATTAAAATATAAATTATAAAAAGTATAAATAATATAATTTAAACTATTAAATTTTAAGATCGACAATTTTAAAATACAGTAAAAATAAATTATCATGAAATATTTTATAAAAAATTAAATATGAATCATTCAAACTTTTATTTTAATAGTTAAAAATAAAAAAAAAAAAAGATGAAAAGAGGAGACATCATTCCTGGTGCAATTTCAGCGCCCTCCCCGCAAAGCGTGGTGACGACATCGGGTACAGTGACATTTTATCCTGCCATTCTTTTCCTTGGCGTGACGTACTGATCTGCCGTACCGCGTTACTTTAAGTATAAAATAATAAATCATGACAAAAAATATACATATAAAATAAGTAAATCAGGTTTAAATGATTAAATGTGTGTTTAGTTTTAAATTTATTAAAAGTTCATTCATTAAAAGTTCAACTGATAAAATCAATTAATAAAAGTAAGTTATTATATATAAAATGATTAAGTGT